TGTGTGTGTGTGTGTGTGTGTGTGTGTGTGTGTGTGGGGGGTGGGGGGGGGGAAGTAGGTGTATTTATCTACCTGTGGTTGGGAGCCTGGGTATTGTTCAATTCATTTTGTGAATGATTACAGTGGCCAATATATAACCACTTGAGCATTTTTAATATACTTTTGAGGACATTTTTACATACTTTTGAGGTCACCTTTCTTAGATCAGATATATCATATATGTCTCTTACTTTCTTTCAGTCATTGTCTAGATGACTATCTCAGGTGGTACAAAAATTCTACCCTGAAGATTAAGTGCAATTTCAAGCAATTTAATAATTATCTTAGTCGCATCAAACCAACATATATGCATGCGTACAGACTAGTTCCAGTGTAAAGTTTATATATTTGTGTATATTTATATTTTGGTGACATTCAAGTTTGTGGCTAGAGTTGTAAAGAAAGGAATAACTCGGAATAACATCAAAAGGTAAACACAGCATATTGTTATCAAGATAATTCCCAAATAGAAAAGGAAAGATTGAAGTGTGTCTTTATCATGGAGTGATCGAAGCATCCAATAATTATTTAAAACGTTAATGTCTCAATAATTTACTCATTTGTTTTATTTTAGGAGCATATGATATCGTACATGGAGGCGTGTTGTGAAATTAACTGTCAGAAAAATTGCAGTTTTAATTTCTTTAAAACAAAACTGGCTCTGAGAGGTGAAATTTCATGCCCCATTATATTAGTTTGTAAACGTTTGTACCGTCAAGTGATGAATACAGGGTTCATATTGATAGTACCGTACTGATGTCACTTGAAGTTGTTGCACTGAAATATATATGGGATTTTGCCCCTATTTCATGGTAGTCGAGAAACCACAGGCTTCAGTTTGGAGGCATACAGAAGTGAAAGATGAGATCATGGAAGGGATTTGGGCAGTCAAAAGGTAACATTTTGATTCTTTTTGGTATCATTTTATGTTAGATATGACAGGACTTTTTTCTCCATCTATTTCCTATATTTTAATTGTTAAGTGTGGATTTTAAGGAGGGTCTGTAGACAGTAACAAGATTGATACTACCATTATTCATCTTTTATATAAGACGTGGCAGGAAACTCCAGTTGAGGGCAATAATTTCCAGTACCAGGAAAACTGTCTCATTCTGTAAAAAAATTTATAATCATGTAACAATATTAAATAGCGCAGGATACTGGCATATGAATGGATGCATTTTTCTTCCAGATCACATGTACCGAAAGATAGGTGAGGAGGAGCCAGATGTGACTCAAGTCCTAAACCCAGGGACAGATGACCAGTTGGTGAGTATTCTATTACATGACTGTAAGTTAGGAAATCAGTTGGAAATTGGTGTAATTTAAAGTTAATAGTGACAAGATCTAAACTAAATGAATAAGTACTAGTTACAACATGAGTTGGCCACTGTATGTGGCATACAAAAGCGTAATTATACCAATGCGCAGCCGAGATATAATTTGTCCTTGTATGTCACATACAGACGAGAAGTAGTTGTAACTTACTTATTCCACAGTTGAATCTAACAATAGGTTGAATGCACCAATGCAGAAAATACAGGCAAGCTTGTATGCAAAATACAAGTACAATTATCCTATTGTTTAAAGTGGTAAAAAAAATAATAGCATCCTACAGTACAAGAAACTAAAAGTTGCAGTTATATCTTTAAAACACTGTTATGATATCATCATCAACATCAGTGTTTTTCTGTCTTCATATGTTTTTCCGGAAAACATATTATTTCCATGAGGACTATTAACATAGTAACAACCAGTTTTACATAATAAAAGTCACTTTAGCCTGATTTGGGCTTATAGAGTATGTTACCTTAAATAATAGCCCTGATGTTTTCAGAATGCTTTAAATAATTCATTTTTGCACAGGATTGCCATGGCTACAGAAAGACAGTGTGTTGTGTTTCCCTGTACTATGTCTTGTGTGTCCTCACACTTGGGGGTTTCTGGCTGGTTCTATATTGGAAGCCAGACTGGAAGATTAGGTTCACAAAGACCCCGTGTTCTCTGGCCAGTGCAGATGAGGTTTTGCTCAAGGTATATGAAAATGTAATGATGACATTTGATGACTGTCACAGTCACTTGACAAAAACTGACAATCCTCTGCATTCATGATATTCCTTTTGAATCTTCAATATACATTTTAGACAATGTTATGATATTTTTTTCAGGGAGCAGTAACAAAATACCTTGATAGTAAGGTCATATGACTTCTGATCAGCAGAATTAGTATTTGATCAACATAAAAATAGCGAAACCAAAAAAGTTCATTTCAATGAACAGTGGAAGCAATACATTTTCATTGTTTATTACCGTATATTCTATATTATCCTCCTTAACCCAGAGAATGATAAATCTCTTAGAGCACTACCTCAATATACAGAATTACATAAAGTGCTAATCACACTCCTCAATTTATATACACTGACAGACAAGTATCTATCATATTAAATTATATATATATATATCCCTTTCCTATACTATGTAAACAAATGGTAGTATTACAAGTAGTGTAAACAGCCAAACATGTTAACATTACATTAGCATTGTAGCATTATAAGCTGAGATTGCTGAAAGCTGAAATTATTATTATTATTATTAATGGTAAATGGATATAAACGTGTGTCCATAAACTTTGTGAATTATGGTTCAAAAAGCCTGTTTCCAATGCAACTATCAGTCTAACATTTAAGCCCATTTGGACTCTTGCTGAATGCAATCAGATTAACAGATTAATGTGCCATTTCTTGCCAACATATTCATATAATCAGCTTTTCTGTATTCTACTTAATGCCAGAAAGATGCATGTTAAGCTGATTGCACTCAGCGTGAGTCCATGCAAAGCTGAATAGATCTACGTAGAGCAGTGGTTTCACTGAAAATGAACCCAAAGTTGATTCCTTACTTCAGGACCAGTCATCACAACTGTTCACTGCAGATGTTTTGTTGATGACTGCAAGAGAAGGCTACCAGTAAGATTTTCTACATCATGATTGCATTTTCTACATCTTGATTGCATTTTAATTTCACTCATATGTCTCATATACCATAAGTAGTTTTTTTAGACATATACACATAACTCTAGAACATATTCATGATCTATAAACCCATTTATTTACATATGCCTGTGCTGCATCCATCTGCTAAAAAAATCTTTTCATGGTCTCTGTAAGTTATTTTTTGCTGTCTTACATTCACTGCTGTAGGTCTTTTGCTGTCAAGCAAGAACTTTCTTCATGTGATGAAAGTACAAGTATTTTGTCAGTGAACCAGGTAAAAGTTATCATGCTGTTGTGAAACATTAACATAATAAATGTTCATTATTAGCTTTTTTTTACAATTCACAGTAGATGTCAAATTTTTAGAAATTGACTACGAGTGATATTTTTCATTGAAATGATCATTCTATACAATGAAGCTTGTTTTAAAAATCTCAATCACTAAAATTTCAAATGAAGTCAATTTCTCCTTACAGGGTTCAGCCCTCCGTTATTTTGTTCATCAGCATGTGAGATACATATGGAACCAAAGCAATGGCAAATTTGAGACACTGTGGTACATAGAATCCTTGTGTAAAAAAATATAGTGATGGGAGAAGTATACTCACTTGTAGGTTTTTTTAAAATAGTAAATACTGTCAGTCATTAAATTCAGTTGGGGAATAGCTGCAAAGCTTATGTTTTCTTTCAATTTATACCCGACATGAAATAAAATTTTATTGTATTGTATTGTCATGTATTGTCGTTGAACGATTTCAGATAGGTAGTGCATGACGCATTTCTCTACATTTGATGATATACAGGTAGATGATAGTTAATGTATGAAATAACATTCTTTATTCATCCTTTGCAGTGGATTGGATGTGGGCACAAAATGTTCATCTTTTCATGAAGATTTTAAAGGTCTGAGTGTGACAGAGCAATGGAAGAAGTAAGACTTGATTTCTGTACTACCAGTATAGTGATATAGATGCCTTATTCACTACGTACGTACATCACTGTCATATCACCCTGAGTTTCAGAGTTGTGCTGTGCACAAGTATGTTGTGTTACTGCATGGCATTGTTGAGGTTTGCAACAATTTAGTTTTATAATGTATCCTCAGGGTCTTTAGTATTGGGGGTTTGTCTTTGACACAATTTATCCAAAGGTGATTAAAAGGAAAGTTTTTAAACATAACCTTGTAATAATACCATAACAACAACAACAAAAACAAGAGGGTAGTTTTGTCCTCAAGGGTTCTATTTTTATTTCTGTCTTTTTACTTTTAGATTGGATTTATATGGCCCAAATGAGATTGATGTGGAAGTGAAGTCATACATTGTTTTGCTCTTTGAAGAGGTAAGATTATGTGATTGTACTGAAATATTGGCACAGATACTTCTTGTCAGTAGTATTCAGACCTAACAGGATATGATGAGAAATAAAATCAGGAGACTGCTGTGAAATAAATGGTTCATTTTATTTTGTACTTCAGATAATCGTGAATGTTGTGCCTGTCCCCCACCTCTTTAAGTTCAATATGATGTTCCTTTTAATTCAAATGACAATTTATTCAAATAATTGATAAAATCTGGGTTATAGTTTTGGTTGTCGTTGTGTGGATAATTTCAGGTGCTGAATCAGTTTTATATGTTTCACCTGTTAAGTGGGATACTGTGGATATGGATGATTTTTTTCTGTCCATTTGACAACTTTGCTGCATTGTTTGTATGTTATACAATCTGACCATAGATGTTTTCATTTACAGACAGCGTTTTCGATGTTTTTCTAGGTGCTGAATCCCTTTTACATCTTTCAACTGTTCAGTGTGGTACTGTGGATGTGTGATGATTACTATTTCTACTCTGGATGTATTATCCTCATCTCTGTGGTATCCATTGTGATGTCACTTTATGAAACAAAAAAGGTATGGTACGATTCACGACACATGTAAACATACTTAAAACTTTGACTTATCATAGATACAGTAATGTGCTCTGCTGGATGACGCATTCAACTTGTTGTTGTTCTTTGATAGGTCTTTTAATTAAAATTACCTTATACCTGTGCATCTGTCATGGCACCTGAAATATTGGTGACATTATATGGGACAATCTGTATTCAATCAATCACTTCATATTGAATTGTAGTTTTGAATTTATTCACGACAAATAACTAGCATTCCAGATCAGTTTTCATGGGAGGTTCACTGTATCAACAAACATTTAGGGGGGAAGAAGAGCAGAATAATTTTGACATATGTACTGTACATAAATGTCAGCATGTGTGAATAATGCAGTGTATTTCATGTAGTTACCTCCATTCTGGTGAAAAATCTATGGACATAGTCACTTTACAGCTGTTTGTTACAACCTTATGAACGCCATAGCTAATTTAGAAAGGGGTGACCCGTGACCAATAAATTTATACCACAAAAATCTCTAATTAGGGGCCATATATATGAGGTTGTAATAGATCATGATTGATGTCTGCTGTCTGCTGTCAGGAGCACACGATTCTCCATGTTTTATAATAAAAATGATCTGTTTAATTTTACATGTATAAAATATTACAGCAAAGGAGAATCCTGCGAGATATGGTTGCTTCACACAAGAGCATGGTTCATGTTAGCAGAGGCAATGGAGGTAAGCATGTACACAAATGTATCAGGCATTCAAACTCACTGAGATCTAGTTTGATAGGTCTTAGCTTAGTCATAAAAAGAATATCTAACTGAGTGGTAGTACATAAATTATGTTCCCTTCTGTCTTTTAAGACTTAAAAGTTATGAAAACAATTTCTTTTCCACCACAACAGTGACCCCCTGAACTCTTATTACTACCCTGCAACACCTAGCCTAACTCATATACCACACCCCAACCCCTCAGTTCTACCCTGCAACACCTAGCCACATATACCACACCCCAACACCTCAGTACTACCCTGCAACACCTAGCCACATATACCACACCCCAACACCTCAGTACTACCCTGCAACACCTAGCCACATATACCACACCCCAACCCCTCAGTACTACCCTGCAACACCTAGCCACATATACCACACCCCAACACCTCAGTACTACCCTGCAACACCTAGCCACATATACCACACCCCAACCCCTCAGTATTACCCTGCAACACCTAGCCACATATACCACACCCCAACTCCTCAGTACTACCCTGCAACACCTAGCCACATATACCACACCCCAACTCCATAGTCACCCCCTCCCCCCCCAAAAAAAATTGCTCAGCAAGACAAATAGTCTACTGTATAAAAAATGGACAAGTACATCCAATGGCTCCCCCCCCCCCCCTTTCCCATTCACTGGAATATATTTGTCATTTTTCTGGACCAATATTAACAAAATTAAGTGGCTTACAAAACTAGAAAGCTGGCAAATGGTAAATTATAATGGTTTACAGGATATCTTAGTAAACACAGCCTACACATTTCCAAGAATCTCAACATTTTGTCACAATAGCAGATAATAAAGCACTTACAATTAATGACATACTTGGGTGGATTAAGACAGCACGAGGCAAGGGCACATGCCAGCATGGATGCACGTGGATCTAAACGTGAATTTCATATAACAATATTATTAAAGATGCATTTGAAGTGAAAATTTTGTCATAAAACCCAAGCAAATGCAACCAAATAGTTGTAAATAGCTTTACTTACAGAATACTAGAAAACATCATTTCGTATTTCCTACTATTTGGATGGGTATTTTCTGCTTTCTTTCTGTATATAACCTAAGGTTGTTTTCAGCAGCTCATTGGAATAAAAGGCAGTTTAAGAAGGCAGTTTGATGGCTTGTTCACAATTTGACTTATCTAACTCAAGGGCTGTTTCTGTGAGCAAATAGCCCAAATATTTAACATTTTAGATGTTGTGTTATCCACACTATAACTTCAATCAAATATTACTGCTAACTTAACAGAATAAGTATATACACATCTTATTACTTATCTTACATTCATAAAGTGCGATAAAAGATTTATTTATTGAGTATCAGCCAAGTTCAGGAACTTTTTGTTTTAACTCTGTGGCCTACTTAAACTTATGCTTCAGATTTGCATTGTGAAATGCATATTTGGCATTAAAAGATGAAATATTTTCACTGGTATTGGTTTGTGGAAATCCCATGAATGTTTTCAACAAAGAAAATCAAGATCATTGTCATGTTTTTGTGAACAACACTTTGAAAACAAGCTGTAAAATTTGAACAAGACCTTAGCTTGAACTCACCTAAGCACACGTTTGATAGTACTCCTATTTGTGATGTCCAAATTTTGAGCAAATTTTTGGAAAGTTACAGATTTTTCTAATCTAAGATATCTTTTGTTCTTTTGTTTGCTGTTCTTCTTTTCTTTTCTTCTTTTTGTTTCTTAGTGTATATAATCTTATCATTGTTGACATATCTATCTCTTCATGTTCTTACTATTATCTATTTTTTATGAATTAATTTGTAAGTGAATGAGATTTTGAACAATTGTTAAAAATTGAACATTTAAGGTGTTATATGTATGTAGCAGTTTACTTTCAAGCCACGTTAGACATATACTGTAGTTCAAAATTATTTGTTTTAAATAGTTTTGAAAGGATTCTAAGAATTACAATCCATAAACCCATTAGTGTTCCATAAGCCACACACACACACACACACACACACACACACACACACACACAAAAAAAAAAAAACATTGGATGGAAATCCCTAAACCAAACTTTTTTTGTTGTTGATTCACTGATATGTAATGGAGAGAGTGACTAGATGGTTTCACTTGTGATGGTAGAATTTAGAAATTCAGATATTAAAAATGGATTTTTAGATTGTAAATTATGTAAACATACAGCAATTTTATAATTAATTATTCAGTATTGGTATTTCTATATAATGGTCTAACAGACATTGCATGCCTTGATTTATATCATAAAATTATGTAGGATTCTTTTGGCCAGACTGATGTACAGATGAAAAAACAGATGCAAGGACTGATTGCTAAATTACAGAATTTAAGTGTATTTGCTTCCCAAATTTTATATATAAACTGAACCTGTGAACCATCAATGGAAAAAAATAAAATTTTAAGAAATGGACCATAATAAATTGGTAACCAAGTCTGATAAATTTAATTCCAGTTTTTGAAGACCTGCCAATGACCCAACTAGTCCCTGGAGATGTGATTGTGATCCCCAAACATGGCTGTACAATGTCATGTGATGCTGTGTTGCTTGTTGGAAACTGCATTGTCAATGAGAGCATGTTAACTGGTAAGGGACTATATAGCCTTACAGTTTTGGCAGCTGGTAGCGGTACATTGTATCTCATTTCTGTACACAGTGTCAATGTATTTGCCAAGAATCTTCTACGCTTTTGATCTCCATGTTGTTCTCAGTTCTTTTACAAATGGTAACAACAATTAATACCAGGCATGTACAGAATTGCCTTGATGTTGCCTTAGTAGGACCTGTGTTTCATAAAACTATCACTTAGCTGTTCTCTTTCTGTTATTTAATGTAAAGAAACCATTTTAAATGGAAGTTAGTCATCACTTAAGTCTACCCATTTCATGTTTCACAAACTAAGAGTAAACCAAAGCTGCTCATTTCCTGTTTTTATAATTTATATATTAAAAAAAAATTATTTTGCCTTATGAAGGTGAGAGTGTCCCAGTGACCAAGACTCCCCTTCCAAACCAGCCTGACTCAGATGAAGTGTTCTCTCCTGATGATGTCCACAAGAGATACACCCTTTTCTGTGGCACTCAGGTCATCCAGACCAGATACTATGGGGCAGGAAAAGTGACCGCTGTGGTGGTCAGAACAGGTAAGGGAGTGACCATACCTATTTTCTAGTTGGTGTTCAAAACAGGTGAGGTGGTGACCACATCCATTTCCTAGCCATGCAGCTAAAAATTGCCGAGTTCGATAAATATTGAGACGCACAGTAGCCAACAAAATAATACAAAAATTAAAAAAGGTATAAGTTGGGAGTGCAGTGGTTGTGGACTGTGTATTGATTAAGCTTCAAAAATTGCCACTGGCTGTCAAGTGAAATATTTTTGTCCTTCTTTTATCCTCCCTTTAAACATTTTCCAATGGTGTTCCAAAATTATATCTTCTGGTGTATATTTTTAAATTTTGATTTCAGTTATGTAATATTTTTGCTATTTTCAAAAATTTTTTTCTGTAGGGTATTCAACCTCAAAAGGTAGACTAGTCCGTGCCATTCTTTACCCCAAACAAATGGATTTCAAGTTTTACACTGATGCTATCCGCTTTGTCCAAATCCTCTTTTTGATTGCCTTATGTGGTATGGCTTACAACCTGTACGTGTTCATTAAAAGAGGGGTAAGTTTCTTCACTGACAAGAAATAGACATACTTATGTACTTTTGCATCATGACCTGAAATTACATACTTATGAATCTTATGTTTTTCCTTGTCTTACATCGTTGTTACATGTTTATGGGAAGTTTGTCCATTGAATGATAATAATATCAGTTATGAATTTTCATACATATTTATCTTACATATCATTAATTGTTAATATAAATACATATCATTATTCATATAAAATTTTGTTTTGTTTTGTTTTTTTTTTTTTTCAATTTTCTTTCAAACCAGGAGTCTGTCAGGAGAATTATATTACGTACTCTAGACATCATTACTATAGTTGTGCCCGTGGCTTTACCAGCTGCCATGACAGTGGGCACAATATATGCCCAGAATCGCCTCAAGAAGGAAGGCATATTTTGTATCAGTCCACCAAGGATTAACATGTGTGGAAAATTAAACAGCATTTGCTTTGACAAGGTAGATCTTTTTTTTTTTATTTGACTTGGAGAATTCAGATGATAAATTTAATTTTTTTACAGCTTGCTCCATTTTTTGTATGTCCAAAATTGAACTGATCACCCTTCATGAAGTTCAAAATAGCATGAGAATGGATATATGTAATAAAGGCCATGCACTTACCATGCTTTGTCATTTTTATCATCTTTGATAAAGTTGACATTTTGACAGTAATTTGTGGTCATTTCAGACAGGCACATTAACTGAAGATGGTTTGGACCTTTATGGGGTAGTTCCTGTACAGGAGGATAGGTAAAAACTAGGATATCAGTGAAATATTTTGAAATCTGAGAAACTAGAAACTTTGGCAGATTTTTATTTGTTATTTATTTTGCCTGTCTTCAATGGATTTTTAAACTGCACAGCAATTAACAAAACAAGTGTCATAAGTGCCAAACATTCAGAAAATTTAACTTACCCCCAAACCCAATACAGAGGTGCATTTTACATGCTGAAGTATCAAAAAATAAAATGAAATGAATACAGAATTGTACTCAATTTTTTTAAAACGTGTATAGAACAATTTCCATGGCTGTCTCAATTTTACATTTACATTTAATTTTTACCATGTCTGCACATTATGTAAGGAGCCTAAATGGTAACATATGTTCCAGTAATGTATGTTCAGGGCCATGTAATTTAAATTTTATATCACTTTCCAGTATAATTTGTAGTGATGGGGAACATCTGTTACGTAGTATTAGCCATGGCACAATGATGTAAGGATGTTTTTATAAATATCTAAACTAACGCAAGGGTCCTTGTGCCATGGCTAATACTAAGTTACATATGCTCCCCAGAAACATTGTCAGAAAGATTCATTTTGCCCAAGTACTTGGTGCAATGGGAAACAGGATTTTCTGTTGCTGACTGAAAAATATATTGTGATTCCATAAAAGTTTGACTTTTCTGATATAATATTTGGATCAGTAATGCACAGTAGTTTATTTAATGCTTATTTATCATCAGTAGGGTGTATTTTCCCCTTTTTATAATATTCAGTGACAAGCAAACTAAAGTCACTAAAAAAAATTAATTGATCTATACAGATGATTAAATTTTCAAAGTGTAAACGTCTCCACAGCTGGACATTTTCCATTTGTAACAGTAACCTATGTTCCTTTTTTGGGGTTACAATTGGGAATTATCATTTATTTATTATTATTTATTATTCATGGTTCCAGATGAGAGAAATTTTGATACAAACTTCTTTATGTGGGACCCTTAAATAATCAAACATAGTTTGTATTCTGTGCACTAAATATTTTTAAGAGCATGTTTGTGACCTCATTTACACCTCTATATTGGGTTTAGGTGTAAAGTGACATCTCTCTTTATAAGCAATAATACACTGTAACCGATTGATTGAAATAACAATAATTCCAGGTTTTTGCATGTAGTCCAGCATCCCACAGACCTGCCCACTGGTCCATTTCTGGCTGCCATGGCAACCTGTCACTCACTCACCATGATAGAAGGAGAACTGAAAGGAGATCCACTTGACTTGAAGATGTTTGAGTCTACAAACTGGGTAAATGATGTTTATTGTACGACCAGCGTGGCGCGGGCGGTACATATGGTTTTAGTCCTGATCCATCTCATTTGTGAATGTGTTAATTTGAACCATGATTTTAGATAAATTATTTCAGGGATGTTACAAAATCTTTGGAGTCAAAACTTTTATTGTGTGTCAGACAAAGAAATATAACATAAATGTCCATGGTTGATTATTGATGTATCAAATGCTTAAGTTTGGTATCCTTTCTTTTATCTTCATGGTAAATGTTAACCTTTTTTCTTATTTTGCAGCTATTAGAAGAACCAGGACAAGACACCAGTAGATTTGACATGATGGTGCCTACCATTGTAAAACCCTGCAATAAAGAGATTTATTTCTCTGCTTATGACCAGAAAATGGTAAAAAAATTATTTAAGGGTTATATGTATTGATAATTAATTCAATAATTTGATGGTAAAGAAGAGCTCCTGATATGACTCGATTTTCATTGTAAGTTCTCGTGGCTAAATGCAGCACGTGTTACGTACATTACCTTCATTTTCATTGTCTTGATTTTCAAGATTATTAAAAACCTTCTGTTTCCAGCTGCCATATGAAATTGGTATTGTGCGTCAGTTTGTGTTTACCTCAGACCTGCAGCGTATGAGTGTGATCACCAGAACTTTGGGAAGTTCCCACATGGACCTGTATTGCAAAGGGTCACCAGAGAAAGTAGCGCACCTCTGCAATGTAGAGTCATGTAAGCTTTATTTATTTATTTATTTATTTAAAATCACTGGGTCTGACTTCAGGTTTGCTGAATTTATTTATTTATTTAGGTACATTTTTATGCTGACCTTGACATAATGATATATTTTGATCATCATCTAAAAAAGATAATTCATTAGATTTTATCTTTTTCATTTTATTTTCACATCTATTCATTGTCTCAAAAGTCTAATAAAAACTTATGGAAATCAATTAAAATTACTCGCTCTATATAGCATCTCATTATAAATATCAGGCCAATAGAATGATTGCCAGGAAGGAAAAACCAGGCAATTGTCTGAAAATGCAAGGAGTTTTCCAATGCCAAATACATCATGCTTTTTTCTAGTGCCTTGTGATTTCCATTATGTTTTACAACGTTATACTATGAAAGGATTCCGTGTGATAGCGGTTGCCTGGAAGCCACTGGACCCTGCCTTGACCTGGCATCGTGCTTCAAGAATACAAAGGTACCTCATTGTTTCTAGAAACAGCTGTGTGGCATGTTAAATAGTTGGTTGAGGAAATTTAAACATTTTTTAAAGATAATACCACATGTTAAATCTGGAGTGATGGAGTTAAACAGCATTCAAACATTTTTCATGAAATATATTCAGTTGGTATGTATTTTATAGAATTTATTGTCAGTATCTTGATAATTATATACATAAGCATATGCATATGCATATACTTACAGGGAAACTGTAGAGTGTGAGCTGACATTCCTAGGTCTGATAATTATGCAGAACAGTTTAAAACCAGAGACTACTCCTGTAATAAGACAACTCAAGGCAGCTAACATAAGGGTTGTGATGGTCACAGGTATTTGAATGCTTCATGCTTTTCTTTTATTATCACTTAGCATGAAAATGCAGTTTTAACACAGGAAATTCTCACACATTTTAAATACTTCCCCCCCCAACCACCACCACCACCACCACCACCTTTTTATCCTGCAAAGCTTCTTTTATTCCCCAGTATAGAATATAAGCCAGTGGAACCCTTAAAATAAAAGTTTATCGAAAGTGTACCTAATTGTTATTATATGATTCATAACTATCTTGTCAGTGCATTTTACACCATATCACCTCACAACTTCCTCCAAAAAATGAACAAATTGAGAGAATTGATTTAGGAGTAGGAGAAAGTAGCTTCCACACACCCCCCCCCCCCCCCCCCCCCACACACACACACACACACACACATACACACACATTGTCAAGTAAAATGCATTTTGTGGAAAAATCTGTAATAGATTATCTTAAATTATGTGACTGTTAGGAATGTACTTCGATCATTACGTGCCCTTTGGATATAAGCACAAACTATCTGTAAAGTATTTAGGAAAACTTTGCCAACAATATCACAGTCCCTATATATTTTGGTGATCATGATGTTATCAATGATTTAATATATTAAATTGACTGTATGTGCCAAAATCTTTATGCTGATAGCCCTTTACAAGCCCAGTGTCTCTTCAGGTGGGTAATTGCCTAGGGCTAGTTTATGGAATCACATTTGAAATGCAAAATTTTCTGCAAAAGCAATTTTTACTGCAGGTGACAACATGCACACAGCCATAAGTGTTGCCAGGGATTGTGCAATGGTGGATGAGGAAGAGAAGGTAATTATGGTGAAAGCCAGTCCTCCCAGCAAGAACAGTGAGGCAGTCATCCACTGGGAATATGCTGAGGTCAACCTGGACAATGAACTTACGGTCAGCCATGAGGAAAGAGATAAGGTATGTTAGAGAACTACTTTTTAAAACACTTGTTGAAGCTTTAAATCCATGTTATGCCCCATAGTGGCCTGCACCTTGGTTCTGTGGAGTGTGGTGATAGGTAAAATTGATATGGTGCATGTAGATTTTTTAGAGCCTATTAAAAAAATGCACATTATCCTGTGGACCAGGGTACTATGGTTTTGACAAGTATTATTAATTTTCTTGCATTTAAAAGAAATAATGTTATTTTTGGCTTACTTAGGATCATTCACCCAAAATACTGTTTTCATGTCATTCTTGGTATATGACCATCATTTAAGCATGGAAATTTCCCTCTAGTTTTTTGGGTGTTTTATTAAAATTTCCACATATTTTAAGAAACTAAAGTAAAGTATGATACTGTGGCATTTTCAGCCCTATAGTACACTGAACATTGAGAGCAGGGCAGACAATTTTCACTTTGCCATTGATGGAGGTTCATTTGGTGTAATCAGGGTGCATTTTCCTGACATTTTGCCTAAGGTAATTATAAAACATGAGATTTCACTTAGGAATTAAAGAGTATTTCATTCAAATTACTCATCATTAAAAAATGGACAGCTGAAATTTCCTTTGATCAAAAAGATTTACTGAATGTATTAGAAGTGACTAAATATCTGCAAATTCATGACACATTTCCCCACTGAGAACAAAATCACAAAAAATGTAGTTATTAGAATATTGTTTATTTCTTTGGTAATAGAAATGTGGGTTTTTAGATGAACAAAATCACAAAAAAAAGGTAGGAATGAAAATACTTTTTATTTCTTGGTTAATAGAAATATACCCTCTACCAGGGCCACAGATTGATTTTTCACTAGATATTTACAGATATATCTCTGGCTAATTCATGGCACATGTCTCCGCTGTGAACAAAATCACAAAAAATGTAGTAATTGAAGTAGTTTTGATTTCTTTATTAATTAATAGAAACATGGGTTTATTATAGATGAACAAAATCACATTGCAATAAGACACAGAGTGAGTTTGAGAATATTCTGGAACTGTGAAAAGTTACAAATGATAATCTGTGTTAAGTAAGATAAGTAAGTAGGATTACCATGTAGTTATATTAAGAAACCTATTTCTTCCTGGCAAGTTCATTACTGTATATTAACAATGAACATCTGCAATAATAGGAAAAGATGTTATGGAAACCAATAACTGTTATATTTAATGTAAGGGTCAATATATTCTGATTATTGGAGGACACTGAAGTATTTTGTCAGTTTCATTTTTAGAAAACAATTCTGGCAACCAAAAACAGCTTTTCTAAATGATTTTGGTTTTCACAAACTAGTATTGTCTTCCAAACACGATAGGATGCCTGAAACTACATTAATTACTTGTTATTTTCAGTGGAGGGAAATTGTTAGTTTTATCGATACTGTATTTTTTAAAAGTGTTTTGTATTTTGTAAATGTAATATAAAAATTTCGTGTTTATAAAATTGTGTATTTGAAAGTTTGATGATTTTTGCCCATTGAAAGCCATTTTTAAAAAGAATTCTGGCAACCCAATGCTTCCATTTTCCCTATAACACAAAAGTTAAGGTATAATCACTGCAAAACCATTAAAACATTTCCAAGCTTTTTATTTCTCTTCTTATGCGTGAAATTCACCAGTTTCAATTTTCGTTAAAAGGGTGACTAAAAAACAAACAAACAAAAAAAAAACAAAGTTCAATTAAAAGTTTTGGATGTGATATACCAAGAAAGTCAATCGACGTCCTTGGATATACCTGGAAAGGGTGTTATGGGGATATATTGGGATATAATGTTATGTGAAAATTATTGTAATTTCCTGGCAAAATTAACCTGAGCATTGTGTTCCTTAAAAATTTCAGATCTGTGTGAGAGGTACAATATTTGCCAGAATGTCTCCCGACCAGAAAGGAAATCTTATTGAACACTTGCAAGACCTGGGGTTAGTAATCCCTATTCCAAGAGAAAATATCAGTCAGAACAGTTGTTCAAACCTTATATAAGATTTTGGAACAGAAGAAATGAATAAATAAATAAATACAATTTTAATTGTGAAAACATGTACATTTCTTACTATTAGTTCATGATAACATTCTGCTGTTAATTTTTCTTGAAATTAACTTTGATCAACCAGCCATCACTCTAAAGAATTTCAAAAGCTGAAAGATAATCTTACACCACCACCTCAAAGCATTTATTGTTTCAGTAAACTAAATGACTGCACTTTTACAAACTGCCTTATAAGCTAAGCTAAGAAATTTTCTATAGATTAATTATACAGTCTGAACTACTATAAAGAACTGTACATTAGAGAACTAAAAGATGTTAGATCAACCTTGAACAACTCCAGATATATACACAGTGCTTGTATACAATCTTTGCATATGTATTTGTATTCATGATGATTTATATCAATTTTTAGCATGAAATCATTGAAACCACTTTCTGTTATTCTGAACCACCAAAGTACAAATCAGGTCTCTCACAGCCTAATACAAAGCTTCAACTTTGAAAAGTGTATTTGGCAGATTGTGTTTATTGGTAAAATTAGTATTTTCACAAAGTATATATTCGTCTCACCTTTATGTTTTGCATGTTGAAGTGTTGATGTTTCCCCTCTCCATTTTGGCAGGTATGTTGTTGGGATGTGTGGAGATGGGGCAAATGATTGTGGGGTAAGTACTTCTAGTGGGATTCATTTTTCTGTATTGTATTCAAAAACACCAAAAAGATCATACATAAGTTGATGCCAGTTTTCAATGCAGAAATTATATGATATAAATTATTGATTAAAATGAGTGTTTTGTTGTCAAAAAGTTTCAATAAATGTGTTAATTTTTTGTTGTTACATAGATACTGGTATATATGTCACATTTGCCATTGAAGACACAGACCAGCATCAAATTTTGCAATTTTGAACATGTAAAAAATGAAAAAAAAAAAAAAAAAAAAAAACGGTTGTTAATTCATTATTGACTGAAGCTGTGAAAATAATACATTTTCCTAAAACAAAAGAAAAAATCTTCAAGTGTTACCCCAGTCCTCATATTAAGTATACTTAGTGTATGTTTGTTGCCAGTGATTGTTATTGTTACTTTCAAATAACTGTATCTCTCTAATCTCTCTAAAGGCTTTAAAAACTGCCCATGCTGGAATCTCCCTGTCAGAAGCAGAAGCCTCTGTGGCCTCTCCCTTCACCTCTAAGACACCAAACATTGAATGTGTGCCCACTGTGATAAGGTAAGTCTCTCCCTTCACCTCTAAGACACCAAACATTGAGTGTGTGCCCACTGTGATAAGGTAAGTCTCTCCCTTCACCTCTAAGACACCAAACATTGAGTGTGTGCCCAGTGTGATAAGGTGAGTCTCTCCCTTCACCTCTAGGACTGGGTTCCCATACTTAGATCAATCTGTCTGGATCGATCTAACTCCCTGAGGAGTACGTCTCACTAAATTGCTGTCAACTAACCGGCTCAAATGTCTGCCACGCCTACCGAATCAGCAAGGGGGTAAAGATGATTACCCCCTAACAGCTTTACTAGGCGTTACAGACATTTGCAATTTCTAATTCTTACCCACCGTAACTCGATCTAGTAAGCATACAATATCACCACTCAAAAATACAATGTATAAATAATATTAGATATTAAAAAGAAATTCAAGTTTCTTTTTCACCTCAAACTGACTGTATTGAGCTAATGTAATATTCTTATATTAGGTTTTCAAGAATGTACACAAATCAACATGTCTGGTGGAATCTATAAAGATCCATTTTTTTGGATTAAAATCATAGCCACATTTTGAAAAATTACCATTTCATTTGTAAAAGCAATAATGAAAAAACTTTATCTAAAAATAATGTTTTTGATTTAGAAGTTTCTGTTCTTATTCAGAGAAGGTCGGGCTGCCCTTGTGACCTCATTTGGAGTGTTCAAGTACATGGCACTATACAGCATGATACAGTTTGTGACTGTGATGATACTCTACACGGTAAAATAAAGAAAACTTGACTTGGAAATTTTTACATAATTTTGGGCAATTGGATACAATTTGTGATGGTGATGATACTGTATATGGTAAATACACAATTGGAATTACTATTCTATTTTTTGCAAATAGCTGAAGTTTTTTACAATCATGGGATATCAAAATTATGTTAATTGGTAAATAAGGTAAATTAAGTTACAGGCTTTTTGCATATTATGAAGAAAATATATGCACCCATTATATGAACCTTTACGACGCATTATCTGCAGTTATGTGGACCAAATGTGAGTTTTTGTTTTAGTTGTTGTAAAAGAAACGAAGGAATTTTTTGCTTCAAAATTAATGAAAACAGTGAATTTTACACTAGGCCTTAATGGAGATGTGATAAAATTCCGTTTTAATGGAGTGTTTTGTGCTATTTATTTGTCCTCTATGCCTTTGAATATCATAAAAATATTATTTTAATAGCTGGAGACCAACATGTCAGACATGCAGTTCTTATACATTGATCTGGTGATTACAACAACAGTGGCCATTCTGAGTAAGTTCATGAATTTCAATTAAAATTTTTCTTTTGACATCGAATATTGAAAATTTATATAATATTGTACAGCCTTTGGTATAATTTTCCACATGATATATACAGATATATAGCCAATATCTACCACATGATGACCTCACTCTGTGACATATGATAATTACACTTTCTTTTCAATGGGAGAAAATTTTACAGATATAGTATTTTGTTAAGTCATAATTTCTTTAAGTCAGAACATTCCTATTTATAGTAAGTAGCAATAAAATTAAAAAGCATGCTACTCTATAGTTCTCTTCTATATTCAGTAAAAGCACCACAAATGCTTCATGGAAATATAGTTTTGTGATTTTAAATCACGTATCTGAAAGTTTGATAATTTTTGCCCAATGAAGAGATTGCATCATCACTGCATTTTTGTTCATTTTTTCCAGTGGGACACACCAGTGCCTATCACAAGCTGGTGCCCCATCCACCACGGGGCAGTCTGGTCAGTGTGTCCAATCTGTTCTCCATATTGTCACAGACATTTGTGGTCATTGTGGTACAAATCAGTGCATATTACTATCTAACATCCCAGCCCTGGTACTCGTAAGTTATGACTTCAGTTATGATATTAATAATGCTATATGGAAAATTCAGTTATAAATTCAGTTATGATATAAATAATAATAATAATTAATTATTATTATTTATAGTCTAAAATCCATGTAAAATGTTCAGTAGACTTTACATGGGTAAAATGAACAGAATAAGATGAATAAAGTCAATAAATAAATAGGTTGTTAAGATATTAAGATTTTAAAATGTTGATAATACAAATTAGATAAAACAAAATTATTAGATTCTTTGTTGAATTAAATGGCATATGCAGTTTATTTTAATTACCACTATATATTTTAATCTTACATAAAAAAATGATATTTTGTGACAGCACTGTATTGTAGGGTAGACTTGCAGATTTGGTCTTGTTTTTCTATCACACAGGAAGGAAAAACTGCGACCTGTATTGAATCAAAATAACCAGGTATGCCCAGAAACCACCACTTTGTTCATAGTGGGAAGCTACCAGTACCTTATCCTTTCTGTTGCCTTCTCCAAGGGTCCTCCCTACAGAAAGAGAATATGGACAAATGGTGAGTTACAGTACTTATAGTGAAACGATAACTTATATATGTCATACTGCAGTGCTTGCCAAAAGTTCAAGATGAAATGTAATTTTTGGGGGTTGACTTATATTACATTAGAACAAATGAATAGTACTTCATAATGATTGTAAAATTGTTGTAGAATTTCACCATTCTCTCTCAGGCAGATATTTTTACATGTTAAATCACCCTGTCTTCCAGTGCTGTTTCTGATAGCCGTCGTCTTGCTCTCCATGTTTACGGCATTTCTGTGGTTCCAGTTTTCACCAACCTTATCCAAATTCTTTGAGGTAAAAGAAATGTACACTGCACATTTTCAATAATTTACCATTTAAAGCTTTCTGTACCTTAGCTCTCAAGTGTACAGATTAATTAAGCAATCACTAACCTTGCAATTTTGATACCTTTCTTGCTTATCTACTCTATATACCATGTGCTATTTTTTTTAGTATTTGAAACAATATTATTAGAGTTATTATATTACTCAGGTCATAATTTTTTGCCATTTATCAGGTATGTGTCTTTTGTTCTTTTCTTTTCAGTTCAAATTGATATCCTCAGAGTACAATGGGTTTAAGATGACTATACTTTTGATGCTAACTATTCATTTTGTCGTGGCAATGTCCATTGAGGTAATGTACATTATTCTTATTGCCACTTGCTGCAAAATCTTAAATATGGAACCAAAACACAAAACCTTGACTGTCTAACCTGCCCAATCACCAGCATTGTAGTTATTCAGTTGTTTTGTTAAAGTTCAGTAAAATCCCTGTTTAAGGTTAATTTTGTTACTTTGTTAGCTTCAATTTTTAGAATAAGTATAGGAATTGCTAGCAGAAACAACATGCAGTGATCTTTTATTCTTATTATTGGAGATGAATAAGGATGTAAAAATGATAGTCTAAAATTGATCAGTAATGTATAATGCATTTTGTCTTTAGAAGTGGATTTTAGCTCATTATCTTAGATTATTTCATATTCTGGTTCCATGATTTCATCTTCCAGAGTTTTATAGTGGATAGAAATCTCCCATCAAAGATAAAGAAATGCCTGTGCTCTAAAGAACCCAGGAGTAAGCACAAGGTATTGGAGAAGGAAATGGCTAATGTACAGTCTTGGCCTCCTGTAGGAGAGGTGACTTTTGCAGGCTAAATGGACCATGATGCCGATGTATAGTTACAGTTCATGGAAAGGACCAAACATGACCCCAGCATGTTGAACATTGACAGATGTTCAAGACATTAAAAACATGAAGTTCTCCTGCCTGTGTACTGTGGCCATTTTTTTTTTTTTTTTTTTTTTTTGCAAATAACAGTGCTAATTAAAGCAGTAGAAAAAAAGGGAAACAGGTGCATTAACTTTCTGAGAACTTCGATGTTTTATTGTACATTGGGCATTACCTTAGTCTACTTGTGGTGTGAAAAATAGGTTTTTACTCTAAGAACAAGATTTACTGGACCTGTTTGTAAGTAAAATTTTCAGTAAGATGACACTTTATGTTTTAATGCTGCTCAGTAAAATAATAGGATTACATTAAAAAAACAAGATGGAACAAGGTGTGGTTGGGCCAAAAAGATGTAACAAAATGGTGTATTCAGAATTTAAAGGAGGATAAATAAACCCTGGGCTAAAAAATAAAATTTAAAACCTTCTGTAAAAGAATTTTTTCGTGCACCTTTTTAATATTTAAAGTTAGTCCAGTGTGAAAATTAAGTTGCAGGAACCAAATCCAAGAACAAGATCAATTTATGGTGTGTAAATATTCAAGAAAAAACTGCTAATAAGTAAATCTTTTAATGAGATGACACATTGCTTGTTTCAGGAAAGGGGGATTGGCACCTATAGATACAGTTGGTGTCCAATTTTCAATTCAAAAACTTGGCAAATGTATGTAGGTGATAGAAAAATAATGGGTTACCCATCTGTGCCACAAGCTTTTCGGTTTACTGTCATTTGGACCACCACTTTCCCAAAATCCACTTGACCACGTCCATATCAGTATTCACTGGTCAGAAAAAAGTTTCAAGACTGGACATTTCCCCTGTACTGCATTAATATTATTAATAACAAGACCCTGATTTTTCAAACTTTTTTTTTCATTTAGAATCATCATGTAACAGTTACTTTTCAGAAAAAATATGAAATCAAATCAAAAGTTCTTTTGAAAACTTAAAGGTATAACAATTGTTAGTCAAAGCAAAAAAAAAAAAAAAAAGATTTTTATGGGTCAAACTACAATTTTTCCATACTTATCAATGGTTAATGAATCCATTCTGACATTCAAAGTTGGTCCTTAGTTTTTACTAAAAGTGTTTTATAATCTCTCAAGAAATCATTCCAGAGGTATTGCCATCTATGAAGGTCCATGTGGTCTGATGGCAAGCAGATTCCAGAATAATAAACTCATTTTTTATTCATTTGGATATAATTTGACAAAATTTATTGTTGTTTTTTTCTCCACAGCTCTATAAATAAAGAAAAATTAATGGAATATTTCTCATTCCCCATGTTGACCTGAATATTTATCAAGACTCAGAAACAAAAAATAATATGGTTTTCCTTTGGAGATATAAGGCCTGAAAAATTGAAAGGAGCTCTCGATTTTTTTCTGGAAAGCCAAACTTTTTGGAAAAGATGGAGAATTAGTAACCTTTGGAAAACTGAAAAGGCCAAAGTTAAAGAGAATAATAACAAACCCAGGTATGTCCAGCAATAAACTTTAAGTTGGTATGCATTCTAGGTTTGCACTTGACTTTAGTCAAACGTATTTTCAGGGCATTTTATTTTTTCATTTTGAAAAAAAAAAAATTAGAAAGGAGGGCCACATGCATATTCATATATTGGTTATTATTATGATTTATAGGATTTAATTTTAAGGATCTTTATATTTTGGCCTGCCATTTTGGTAGGCCGAACTTGGCCTTGGCAGTGTTATTGGTCATTGAGTGTACCTTAGTCCACTTATTATGTGGAAAATAAGTTACAGGAACCAAATCCAAGAACAAGATCAGCTTAATGACATGTGATTATTCAAGATAAAACTGCTAATAAGTAAAAATTTTAATGAGATGACACATTGCTTGTTTCAGGAAAGGAGGATTGGCATATACATAACAACTGTTTGTATAGACTCAAGTGGTGTCCAATTTTCAATTCAAAAACTTGGTAAATGTATGTAAGTGACAGTAAAATAATGGGGTTACCCGTCTGTGCCACAAACTTTTCAGTTTACTGCAATTTGAACCAATACTTTCCCAAAATCCACTGGACTAGGTCCAAATCAGGATTCACTGGTCTGAATAGAAATTTCAAGACTGGACATTTCCCCTGCACTACATTAATATTATTTATAACAAGACCTGATTTTTCAAACGTTATTCATTATGAATCAACATGTAACAGTTACTTTTCAGAGAAAAAAAATAAAATCAAAGCAAGTTTTTTTGAAAACTTACAGGTATAACAATTGGTAGTTTTAGCCAAAGTACAGATTTTCCTAGGGCAAAATACAATTTTTCCATACTTACCAATGGTTAATGAATCCATTTCGACATTCAAAGTTGGCCCATGTTTTTTTCTAAAAAGTTTTTTTATAATATCTCAAGACATCATTACAGAGGTATAGCCATCTATGAAGGTCCATGTGATCTGATGGCAAGCAGATTCCAGAATAGTTGCAATGACAGCTGTTTTGGTGGTAAATTAGAATGTGTAACATTTCCATGAGTCTGAATCTGATACAAATAGTTGTTATCCCTTTCAGGAAAAAAAATAAGGGCAATGTTGTACCATTACATTCACACATTCTGAAGTCTACAGGTCCTAACAAAGTTCTACTGGCCGTGGGTGTAGGACCAGTGGCTAAAATTGAAGAATGGGTTATTGCAACACACAAGATTGAACAAAAATGGTTAGGCTAAAAAGAAGCTACCATATGGTCTACTTAGAACTTGATAGGATAATAAACCTTAGGCTATTAAAACAAAAATTTGGCAATGTATACAATAATTGTTCTGACATTTGGGCATTTCCAACATTGATATTCATGGTAGAAATGACTTCTGCTTAATAAAAACACATGGTTCAATTATGTGACATCTTTTATTCATATGCAGATAACCTGACTCAAATCTATTTCACTATGAATTCTCTACAGGCACTATGTACATGAGGGGAAACTGCATACATCCATGTATAGACACATTGAACACTTAACTATTTTTATTATTTGCTGTTCTTCTCTGTAAAACTACACAGGGTCTGTTCAGAATCTGTGCTTGACACATAACCATTATTTTCAAATGCATGGTTGGAAAAAATTCCTTCTTTGTACAAAAAAATGCCATGTCCATGATTAAATTTCAGAATCCATTAAAGTGGAAACAAGCACAATCTATGATCAGAGAAGTTCTACACATGTGTTCACATCTGAAGCATTTCAAGATCACATCTAACACATTCAGAAACTTAATATTGCTTCCTAGTACCAGGAAACTGCACAGTTCTGCAGATATTTTTCTGTCCTTTCTGTCAAGACTTTTAAAAACAACTATGGTGCCCTTCTTCTTCCTGCTCTTTGTCTTTCAAACCTTGCTTCCATTTCCTCCAAAACTTTTGGAGTATATCTAACCACCAGTTTTACAGTGCCTGCAAAAATATAAAACTTTGGATACATCTAGCAGGAGATTCAAGTTATCGGAACACACAAAGGCAATTTAATGGTTTTATTTAAAAAGGGTGTAGCCTGTCCTTACATGTAAGTAAAAACATTTTTAAAAAATGCCAAGTTTGAAAAAAAAAGAAAAACCCTGCTTACTGTCCTATTTATTAATACTTATGTTAATTTTACTTGTACAGATAACACTTTTCTTTCTGGTGAAACTGAAATTGTGTTTATTTACCTTGTGCAGCCTTCAAAAGATCCACAGCTTTTTCATGATTCTCTCCTTCAACACTCTGAAATGGCAGTAAATCCGCAAGTTGAAAAGCATCAAATTGGCAAAAATCATGTTATCAAAGATAGGAATGGCACTTTCCCTATATCAAAATATATTATTGTTTTTAAACTTTATTCTGTTACCATATCTACATTCACAATAAAGTAATAATAATAACATATTAAAAAATAAAGTCACATATATTTTTGCTCAGTGTAAATGCTCTGCATCACCTCTAACTCCCAATTACAAACTGTACATCCTCAGACATGGGCTGTATTCCCAGAGCTTTTAGATTGATCTATCCCCGCGGGGAGTCTCACTAGATTACTGTCAGATAATCCGGCTTAAATGTCTGTCCCGCATACTGCAAGCTGTAAGGGGGTAATTAACTTCCGTATTGGCTCGGCTGACAGCTATTTAGCGTGAACCCCCAGGGAGTTAGGTCGATCTAAAGTAGATCAATCTAATCTCTGGAAATGGGTCATACTTACCACACCATTCACAGACAACAACTGATCCCCTCTCTTCAGTCCAGCATGTCTGTCTGCCACACCCCCAGGAATGATGCGTGAGATATAGATGGGAGAGTTCTGTTCCTTTCCTCCCATCACATTGAAACCAAGACCCTCCTCTGTCTTGGGCAGTTCTACCACTCTGGGATGTGCATGCCCTTCACTGGCAGCAAAAGCAGCTACAGTGGCCTGGAAATATGATCCACATAATTTTGGCAAAAGTTTAGGGATAACTGTAACATAAAAGCTGCAAGATATATTAAACAAATCAAAACATTAAAAACTAGTAGAAAGGCAATCAGAGGGCAGGGAACTCTGCCAAAGCTGCTCAATTCTCACTATTAATTAACTGATTACTGGATCAACATCAAGATCCTATCAATTCTAAGTAGACCCAATTCTGAGCTATCCATCTGTAATTTTTTTAGCAATAAAGTTAACTTAAAGCCAACAAAGGCAAATAACTAACATCACTGTCCATTCTATGATAAATATAAATTTATGTTTAGCAAACGTTCTACTTAAACTAAACTTATACTTTGTGATGTCTTAAGTTAAACAAGCAGAGTGAGACCAACCTTTGCAGTTGCATTCGCTCTTATTTCTGGACTTCCCTGGATATCCACGGTTTCGTAGACATGCTCGTATACCTCCCTCACTGCCTGGCAGAATTCACTCTGGAGCACTTTCTGCAGGGCCATTAACTTAGCATTGTTGAACTCTCCACCTGGTAATGAAAAGTGATTTAATGTTTGACATTCATTCTTCAACAAATTTAATTCAAACTTTTTATTTGTTTATTCATAACCTTGTGCACACAGAAAAACATACAAGTAAATTCAATCTTTATATATATCATAATGATATCTGAGGTTTGAAAAAAATTATAACAGATGCCCATACTTGAAGAAACTTTTATTTATTTTCTCTTTGAAATTCGCAATTTTAAGATAATAAGTGAAGACTTAATATGCTTTGCCACTTACTTCTTTGCAAATTTTCCAATAATTCAATGGCTCTTGCAACATCTGAAATATAATTAACACTCCACTTCAATAAAAATTAATCCAGTTATGCCCTAGAAAACCCAAGTGATTTTCCAACAATAATAGAAGCTTGCTGAAAACTAGGAGCAATCTCTACTTGTAACTTTAAGAAATCACTCTATACGCTCTATGCTTTTAGCTTAAGGAAGTGAAACTGCACATGATTCGGCTGTAAATGTTGCCACTTAGGCTTCGTTCACATGCAATGTCTATTTTCTATTTTCTATTTTCGGTATGTCTTATGATCACGGTCTGTGCACTGAATATCCCGCGGCGTAATTACTGGCAGCGCGAGCCAGTTACTATAAGCCTTATTGGCACAAACTGGAAGCCTTGTCTTTATTTAGCAAACTAATTAGGGCACCAAGCAGGCTCAGCTACATTTGAATGGAATATGATTAAGAGGTTTGCTTTATATTTACAAAATGCGCAGTCTCTCAAATACAAAGAATCGTAATCCATGCACTGCGACAATAAAAAACTCTCAGACCCAAATGCATAGTTGAAATAGTTTGAATATCCAATGACTAAATGAAGGGTGTCAACCGTTCTGTGAACATTAGCCTATAATTTGAACAAAAAAGCAAAACTAGACATATTTATTCCTTTTGCATTGAATATGAAGCATTCTCGAGTTGTTCTATAGGCGATCAATAATATTCTACAACGGAAAGAACCAAAATATATCTAAATTACCTTGCTCCAACGTCAAAGGCTCACCAGTGCTCGCCATCTTGAAAAGAACTGCAAGCTCATTGGATAAACAGTCTCATGTGACCTCAGGAGGTTTGAGACGTCACTTCCAGGTAAACAAAATGCCTGGCAGTGCACGATATCACATTTGGCTGTAGTCGTAAAAGCTTTCAGTGTGCTGTTAGCTAAGAAATCTGTTGTTGCAAACTTAAGAATATGTGAAGCTGTATTAAAAATCACCAGTGTTATAACTCAGGTAGTAACACGAAAATGAATGTGAATATTTTGCTTCTTTTTTTTGCCAATCAATATTTTATTCACTTTAAAAAAGTTAAATTAATTACTGCCAGTAAATGTATTATGACCAAATTTGACGATCAGTATTTTGTGTAGAGTTATCTCAGGCTCATTGAAAATTTTGCTCAAATTCATGTTTAGAAGGCAAGTTGAAACCACTGGTTGGAGCAACACAAGAAACTGCATGGTACATATGAGGCACTTTACAAGCAAACCTTTTGTACTGCAACTTGTATAACTTGTATATATACAGTAGCATATAATTATGTATCATATAAATTTTGCCTTTGCATGAAATAATGAAAGTTATTGTGTGAAAAGGGGACATCTTTATAATCTTCTCAATGTCAGAGATTTTCTTGCCTATGAGAAATGAAATTGTGAAAAAGGGTTCTCTCTCCATACGTCATATCTTCAGTTCCTACATAATATGCTACCATATTTTTCCAAAAAATTCACTTATTTGAATGAATCTTTCATTTTGTAGTGTTTTGCTGGCAGCTGAGATGGATGAAATAGGAGTAGACAACCACATATCGTCTGCTGAAGCAGAAAATGAGACCAACAACCAGGATGCATATACCTACCAAGCTATAGATGCCTTGATGAACAGCCCGGAACAAACTTATGATGAATTTATGGAAAACTTTATGTTCTTGAAGAAGGGTCAGCTTTGTTTTATATGTATTACATCGAAAGCAAGGATTGCATTAATGTATGCAAAATATATTAGAAAAAATTCGGACAGTTTATTGTAGAGAATGCCATCATTGGACTCAACCCAAGCCTACATTGTGATTAAGTAATAAAGATCAGTATAACAAATGTGCTTTAGGGTGCTTTTAGAACAAGTTGATCAGTGAACTTACTAATCTCTGGATCAAATGTGGCTGACACACTCGAAAAAATGGTACCAGAGCTTAGATTTAATCCATTTAATTGCAAGGCTCCTGCAGACCTGGCACGTGTTGAAGGTGGCAAGACCAATAGGGAATAAGCAGCATAGTTTTCAAGTGGGGTCGGCCATGTTTGTCTGCAGATCATCTGTTCTGAATGTAGCCTTACTAATATATTTTGATACAAAGATTATTTTCTAACCGGAATGACACTATTCCCTTGTTGTGTATAACTTTTGGTTGGTTGATTTCAGGCGATGTTGTCAGACCAACGCCAGTCCCTGTAGAAGCACCTGTGCCACAAGTTGCTGCTAGTCGTGATAACGTGTCCGTCCAATCTGTTGCTCAAGAGAGAGTTGACTGTGATTTAGATGTGGAGGTATAAGAAACAAATGTTGATACTTTCACTATACCGGTGGACGTAGTACCACTTGGAGCATGAACCATCCATCCTGCTCATGCGCACAAAGTGCAGGCAAATCTGAGAGACTTCCAACTTTCTAGCGAGTCATCAGTACATTCTCAGCCTTTAATAAACATGCGCTGTTGAGAACATACTGCAAATTCAAACATAATCTTTAGAAGTATTCACAACTTATAGTTGTTCACCGCTACTGCGATTTCCCTCAGGTGGCCACATCAACACACTAGCCTAGTAAAATCAATAATAAAATAGTAGGCCAACAGCGAATAACGAATTGGACGCTGATTCTCTATCAAAATTATGAATAAACATGAATTTTACCTAGAAATATTCCCATCGTAGCTGGTAAATGTATAATGAGGTAGGAAATGAACTAGCTGAATATAACAGTACAGGTGAATAACAACGGATCATTCTCGGAATGGCTCATACACACGTCTGCTGTGTGTACAATCGGTTCACGCAGATGGTTCACGCAGAATGGACCCTACAAGTGACACCGGTACATCACTGGGTGTGGTCTGTCATAATAGTTGGTTGCCCTTGTTACTAAAAAATTGAAATTTGAGTGAAAATTGCTTATGAAGTTGTGGCATTGACATCTGTTTATACAAAAACCTATGAATGTTTGGCACAATTGTTTACAATGGTGTCAGATTAAATTTTCAGACATTATCACGTGATTCCTTTGCCCCAGACCTTTTAGATTAAAAAAATGAACAATCTAGGAATTGAAAGTCTGCTGATGGAGCCTGTTGTCTATTAGTTTGCTGAGCATTCCTCCACAATCTGCGGAGGTGCAAAGCTATACATTAATCAACATGCGTGTACACAGGCATACACACACATGATTAAGTATGCACTAATACACGTAAAGTTTCATAACATATTTTACCTGTATGTTTTATACATGGTTTTAAGGAAGTCTACTTCTTTATTTTTAGATACTTGAAGAAGGCACACAAACCCCAAGTATCTTTACCCGTCAGTCAAGTGATGGCACAGCCTCAGTGCAGGTGATGTAATAGATCTGCTGTCACTGTCTTCATGGGAAACCTAATAACTATATCAAACCCATCTACTGTCAGTAAAGAAAATGCCAGTTTGTCACGTTTTTAATTATCGAACTTGAGCACATCAGGTCTTCCAGTATGTTTCTATCGTCCTTTATTCTCTCAGCTGCCCTTTGCTTCTGCACCTTCCTCTTGAAGATTCTCAGAAACTGCTTTCTAGGAATGACTTGTTCTAGATAATTTTTTAAAAGGTCATTTTCTGTGTTTCAATGCCTGTTGGCAAATTTTTTCTTTATATTGTAATAATTTTATTAATATTGATGGGTGATCATTCCAGGAATTGGGGGGGTGGGGGAGGGACATGATTTACAGTAGACAGAATAAATGTTCTGAATAAATGTAAGAAATCACAAAAATAGAACAAAAAATCTAAAACTGGACTTTCTGGTTGAACATTGGTAGTACAATGGCAACATTTGATCATAGCTGGATGTCTAGTATTAGATTTATCTTTTTATCTTATGTGATTTACATTAGAGTACAGCGTTTCAATCAAAAGGAGTGTGGTAGCAGATTGCAACTGCTGCATATTTGGGACAGTTTGATAGTGATCTTCCTTCCCAGACTAATCAGAAGTCCTCGGATGAGGATGAAAGTTCTCAAGGAAGCTCAGACTTCTTGTGTAGTAAACAACAAGTTAAGTTAAACTAACAGACAACTGGTAGATACTGGAGATACACAGTTTTATATTATTAGTTGTTTTTTTTTCTTTTCCCCTCTAGCTTGACAACTTTGTTGAAGATGAAGGAGAGGAGAACTTATCAGATGAAGAAGATGGTTGCAAGGCTGTGTGGGAAGATGTCACCAGTGAAGAAAACACATATCAGGCTAGCTTTACTCCTACTGATGGTATGCTAAGCAGACATGAGCTTTTCTGCGGAAACCCAGAATTCCATGTTTTTTAATTCAATTCTGGTGGTTCCTGAAATTCGTCAAGATCTGCAATAAAATAGGTGTTGGGTCCCATGATAAGTTTTTTTTTTTTTGAAACCTAGGCTCAGAGTTGTCAGCACTTCATAGCATCTCTGCAATTTCTGCCCTTAAGAACCTCTTGTAGAAGTGCTGACAATAGAGATTTCTGATGCAGCTGTAAACAATACTGTTCCATGGGTGAAAGTTTTCAGGATTATCTCTGATTTCAGGATTTTTGGTCTTCATTCATTACATTAGTCTAATAATGCTGTGTCTCCCCGTTGGAGACTGGCTGAAGTCACTGAGAAAGATGGACAACATCACATGTCTAAATTGTATGTCCAGCAATATATATATATATAAATGCTGTTCAGGTTTCATGTTCCCATTGTTCTGACAATAAAAATGTAAAATTTTGTTGACTGAACTTTTAAGCAGAATACATTTGTGCTTTCATGCTGTTAAATGAAAAGTTTGCAGCAATGAGTTTGCAGGAGTTTGTAAGAAAAATTTTCTTGCTGCTAATTTGCAGGCATATTGCAGCAAACTTGCTGCTAATTTGTAAGAAGGAATTGCAGTTTGCAGTGAATTTGCAACTGGTCTGATATTTTGCTAAGGGAAAGAATAAAATGTGTAGAAAAGGTTTCTTTTGATTAACCCACTGTACAAGACATTTCCTTAAAATAAGACTCTTTGTAAAAAAAACTGTGAGAATGATTAGAAACTCTCAAACTAAGAATAAAACCATACTTATTTTACAGCAAAAAAAGAGAAAGTACCTTCACCTGTTTCCACAGCAGAGCATTCAAAACAGGAAAGAATGAAAGCCAGCATTGAAATCCATGACAATCACACGCAAGATGCAATACCTTTCATGCCAGAAGATACAGGAGTTGCGTTATACCCTGGTGAAGTGGAAGAGGTTCAGCAGAGTCCCAGAGAAAAAGATATAAGAAAAATTTCTCAGTTGGATTTTTCAACAGCCACTGGTGGCCCTGTTGTGGCAGAAAATAAAGAATCTCAGGGGGAAAAAGATGTAGGTGCATTTTGAATATTTGATATTTTTGAACATTTATCAAGAATCCATTATCAGTACTTGTAGTGTCCACTCGGTGTCATGTTTGTTATCTTGAGACAAAATAGTTGAGATTGTTAAAACAAAGCCTTACATTAATCATTTTAGTTTATTTTGTTAAAAAGAAAAAATAAATAAACATTTTAACAATTTCTGATAGCATATGGATCACTCCTTGGTGAAAATCATTGAGATTAAATTTGAAACTGCAGCATAGGTAAAGTAGGCCTATTTGGACAATTATTTCATTGAATGATTAGGGCTTGAAGTTGTTCAACATAGTACTGTGTACATATCTGTGTGTGCCTATGGCACAGCCAAAAAGGTCTTCAGGTTGTAGATTTTAAAAAATATTTTTGCAAACTGACACTATTTCTGTCATGGATTCTGTAAGGTTGAGACCTTACAGCTTTATAAAATCTTATCATATCACACCGTATGTTAATATTTGTCTAATTTGTCAGTCACCCACCAATCCAGAAGAAGTCTGAAGATGACTATGATAATGAGTGTTAATGTTCTGTTTCAGTTACCCACCGATCCAGATGAAGTCCAGCCTTTCTCACTGGATGAGGACTTTGATTATGATAATGTTGTCCTTACTCCAAAATTTTCCAGTGAAGAGATGGAAATGATGAGGATTGCCCGGCAAAATAATGGCTTCATCTGAGAGACGTCTTAGCTTTACCCGATTGAATTTTCAGTCCAAACTTTTGATGTAATTTTTTAGACTTTTTAGTATATTTTAGTATATTTTATACCTTCACATACTGGCCGTGATTAATGTGATGATAGAACAGTTAATACAGGGACCAATTAATCTAATATCTATTTAAAACACTAAGTCTAGTACTTACTGCAAAACCATGCAAGTTAAAGATACTTTGGTCTAGAATCTAGATAAATGTCAGAGTTGATAAAACCTGACAAGGTGTTGATGATAGTGTTACGAAAAGTTTTTGATTAACAGATTTTGTTTTTATACAAAGTAAGTGATGTTTTATTTCATTTTCAAGCACATTTTACTGTTATTTTTATCTTGAAAATTTTTGAACTTGCAACAGATGATATTCTTCAATAAATTTTTAAGTTATTAACTTTCACCCAATTTTCTGATAATGAAAGCACAAACCAATATTTGACATTTTTTTTATTTTCATATATTTAAGTATGTACAACAAAGATGGAAAAAAATGCACAAACTGTCGTCCTGACCTGCTGAATCCAGGTTGCTGCAACAAGCTCTATATCAACACAATTCTCCTCTACGGGGGCACAGCCAACACAATTCTATTCTCCTCCGCTGGTACAGCTAACACAATTCCATTCTCCTCCAAGCTGGCACAGCTAACATTTGTTCTTCAATCACAAAATCCAGTGACTATAAAGAACCAGCAATGTGTTGAATAAACATATCATATATTGGCCATTATATTATAAATATCATGGAGGGCTACGAGGTTCCCTGATTTCGTGTTTACAATAAAGTTCAAAGTTAGTAACACAACATAATAAAGACACCAAGAAGGTGCAATAATCACAATAATTTATATGGGAAAGTGGTGCTTCAGTGATACTTAGCAAATCTCTGGCAATTTTTCCTTGCTTGCCAAAGTTAGCTTATTAATGTCATTGCTGTTAGTGCTCATGTGGAATTCTTCCTTTGGGCAGTGACTAAGATGATATTGTGATGCCTTGCAGACTAATTTCTTAACAAAAATGTAAATGCATTGCAGTAGCCAAATGAATCTGTCGCATGTGTTTTCAACAAGAAAACAAGAAAATATGTCACTATTTTTGAAAGAAATGTGCCACCAGTTGAATCATGCACAAACGATCCCATTCAACATATGATTCACTTAATGTGGGGGTAAAAGCATAATTATGTAAAATTTCTTCATTAATAATGTATAATTATGGTGAAGGTATCATCCTTTTAAATTAAAACACACAGCTGTGTTGGGTGTGCTAATTTAGCCAGTATACTAAAACCAGTTCTATGAACACCTGGAACACATCTTACAGTAGCTTGTAGAATACAAAATTGATGTCACTAGTGCTTCATTAAAATAGTAACATAATATTTAAAGTTGAAACTTTGAAAATCAAATCTTAGCTTGAAATTTTATAACAGCTATATATGATACAAGTTTACACAGGTCACTATAAAGTGAATAAATATATTTCTCTCACTTATATTGAAGTATTTACAAAGGTGTTTCTTGAAAAATAATAAAGATAACAGACTAATAGCACCATAATCTGTATCAAAAATAGTGAAGTTGTGATGAAATATGCAAATATCCCTTCCAGTGAAGCAAGAGGATTATTTTTTGAAACTGTATATTAATAACAAGGATAATGTTACAATAATATACAAGTTAAAAATAAAAATGCTGACCCCTACAAAGACTATGAACCAATGATTAATTCTTCATAATATTACAGCAAGACAATGTGAAACCATACTTTCAATGTTTTATGCTATTTAATAAGTGATAAAAGAATCTCAGATCCAAATACCCGCTGCTGTTTTAATTTTGCTCAACAGCCTTGTTCTCTGTACAACGCAGAAATCGGAACCAAATATATCTATAATCTAGCTATCCATTTCTTGTTCAAATTCACATTTCCTTTGCCCAGTCTGCTCAACCAGCCAGCTAGTCTGCAGAGAGCCTTTTCATTCCGTCATTACAGGAGCCACTGAACACCATGCCTCATGAAATATACCCATTAATCTTTCTGCTCATAACAGAGAGGATGGCTTCTGCGAAAGTGTTTGATGACTGCAACTCTGCAGAACAGTTTGTTAATTAAATCTGTCTGTATCATAATAAGACTGACAATTAAGTCTAAGGACATGAAATCTTAAGTCAAAATTCTTGGTTTCCAGACCAAAGTACATCTCAACATGTTACATTCACAATATTGATCCTTTTGCAGTGAAGATGGGTTTATACAAATTAAAGATCATCATACCAAGATTTAACTATTTAAACTCCATACTCAACAAAACTGGAGAACATCTTTGGAGCTATACATTCATGAACTAACATAAAGGCAGTGCTGATTTGTCGGTCTTCCTTGAAATGTCTGACAGAGTCCCAAGCCCCTATTGTACCATCCATCGCCTAAATTTGTTGAGCACAGGCTTCAAATGTTTGCGCCATTTAAAATATTTCAAATTAATATTTTATTATTCTTGAAGATTTATCAAGATAAATCCATCTTTTGAGGCTTCTGCTTTCATAAACTTATTTTAAAAAGCCATATTTGCGCATGCTTCCTTTGTTGACACACACAATGCATCATATAAGGGGTTCTGGGTGCCTTATTCCCAAAACTATTTTAAAAATATTCTATAAAGAAACCCCTTTTGGTGGGCCTATTATCTTAAAATAATATTTTGTAGGAATTCTGTCTTTCACTTGCCAAAACCATCTGCATGAACTAGTTTCTTAATTTGTCGCAGACATTTAATACCTGTGCTCATTTGTAGTTAGTTACTTGTAGAATGTAAAAAAAAAAGCCTGGGATATCCCCCCTGTTGCTCAGTGAGCACCAGAGTCTTGGTCCACTGATACCACTGCATTGCACCTGGATAGTACCACGATGAGATGGCCAAACATTGCACTGGATTCTCAGGGTGAACCCCCCCCCTCACGTGTTACTACATGGAGTTAGGACTTGGACTGCCATATCCACTGGACACATCATCGCTTATGCTGCCATTCAGTCTATAGGTCTGTTGTTTTATCTGGGACAAAGCGTTATAGTTGTAGGATAGGCTTGCGAACATCATCCTCTCTTCATAGTCATATTCACACAAGATTTTGTTATCACACAAGTAGAACTTGTCTCCCACGCAGAACCTAGAAGGTGAAAAATATTGAGTTATTAATCAGATATTGTGGTATTAATCAAAAGATAATTATCCAAACTTATTGCGTGGATTTATGATTCTAATTGAATTTTCAATAATGCAATCAGATTTGTCCTGCCAAAGATGTGTCTCCAGATTGCATGCAGGCAAAACTCATCTAGAAAGCCTCAAAATAGATCTACCATGGAGGGTATCAAATACTTCTTTAAATCAGCTTATTATGAAGATATGCATAGGGACAGCAACAGGTAAGCTTTGCTTTTTTTTTTTTTTTTTTTGACAAAATATTATGTTACTTCTCAGCAAATGATTCTAGCTTCAAAAGTACCACTGGCATTATGATACTCAATACGATGTTTACCCTCATGATTAAAAAACTCCACTTATTGAATAAATAATTGAATTTTGCAGAATATCAAAGTGTCTTATCTTCTAGATCATAAATTACACTGATGTTATCTTTCTCTTGCATTATTTATTTAGTTTAACAAAGCTCCAAATGGATTAGGTACGTTGTAATGTATTCTACTTGGAAACAATGCAAACAACAATAATAATTGTGTCCCTAATATTATCTTCATTAGGGAATAAAGATATCGACAAAATCACCAAAACAATCCATGACAAGCAATATATCATTTTAGACAAGGGTAAAAAAATTCCTTTTGTCATTTTAAATAGATAATCCTTTGTCTTCTTTTTTTTTAACACGCACAATTTGCTTCCTATTTTCCCTACTGAGCATGATAAACACCAGCAAGATAAGACTAAATCCATCTGTGGTGTATTACCTGTGATTGCAAGTTTGGCAAGCAAAACACTCGAGGTGGTACACATTGCCCTTGGCTCGCATCACCATCTCAAACGCTGGAATCATCTTCGCACATGCGGAACAATACCCCGTGGTGCCAAACAACCTGCCCGGAAAATAAAAATATTTAGTTTTATTTTTGAACATTGTAAGACTGAAATCAAACCATATTGGATGAGAGGGTATTTTTATTTACATTTGTTGGGTGTTCAATGACCACAGGTACCTGCTCCCTCCAGACACACGCAAACACACACACACACACACACACACACACACACACACACGCACGCACGCACGCACGCACGCACACACAAACACATCCTCTCCAAAACAAAAACAGTGGTTGATTCAGGCTGGAAGTAGATAGAATGCAGACTTGAGGTTCATAAAGCATTACAATGTGACCCATGCTGCATATTTTTCAAAACATATCTTCATATTTGTCAAGGGTGGGGAAAAAAATAATCTTGCAAAGAAGTTCACTTGAAATATTCATGTGGGGTATACAATGTCTAAAATCCTTCCACTTTTACTTACTCTACACCTGTTTTACTGCATCCAGATTTTCTAACAGCAAAAAGAGCACTCAGTATACAGTATTACTTGGAACAATAAGTTAATTGTACCTTCACCAAAATAAACGTCTTCCAAGTACACATTATAACTTGATAAATACAGGGCACCAGACTGTTTAACCTTCAAAAGTAGGTAAAGTAAGACTATTAACTCATTATGAAGAAGACTCCATGATTTAAGTGTCCATAACAAATACTAAAACAGGTTTTTCTCATTATATTCTACCCCACTGTTTTATCGCATAAGTAAACAGGTCCCTTTCAACTGGTTCACCTGGGGGAAAGTTAATTAGTGCTTCATAAGGCAATGAGTTAATGGAATAATTACAGTGTCTTAACAATGTGTTAGGCCCTGCAGCATGGGAAGCCACTTTCATTGCTCAGGAAGATGGCATAGTGTTACACAATACAATGGTCAACAAAGACTTAATAACACACCTGGACCAGGTAATGATACCAGAGAGAGAGCTCTCAGGGGACAGAACACCATCCTGAGCCCCACAGGTGGTACCAATTATATTTTACAACACTTCCAATACTTAAACCATTATTTTTCAACTGGACATCCATATCTTCCAATGTGAGATTTTTAGTTTGTCTGTATATATTTACAACCATTTTCTTCTTTTTTTTCATTTTCCATCTTTTTTTTTTTTTTTTGCTTTTGGCTTATAATATTATTGGAATTTCAATTTATAATAGTTTACTGAAAAGGGTCATCAGAACATGTATTTTTTTATACATAATTCTTCTCCTCATCCACATTTTTATTATATGAACTTTATATGTTATTATCAGTTTCACAGACAGTGTATTTCATATGACGTCAAATGAAGGATGTACCAATTATTTTCCCATTTTCTTGGCTTCAATTTAACTTTTTTTATCATCAAATCAGTACACATCATTACATGAAGTGGCATTAATGCCATTCTTTACAGATATGTTTGCAGATTTTGTTTCAAGAAGGCTTCTTTCTTACCTCAAATAGTCTCTCCGACATAACAAAAGATTGGCTTTTGTAAACAAAGTGGACCCCACCTCTCCCAGTCTGCAGTCACAACACGAACACTTCAAACAGTCTTCATGCCAATACTGGTCTAAAGCTTTCAGTAAGTAGCGGTCAGTTATCTTTCTTTTACAACCAGAGCAGGTCTGTCGTTCCCCGCTCGCAGACGGGATGTTTTCTTCGGGCGAGATCTGCATTGGACCTGGAAAGAGAAGCAAGTCAACTGAACATGTGCTACTCATCTACTGGTGAGGGTCTTAAATCACACATCTATATGTAGAACTGGAAAATTGATCTTATGTTGACAGGATTTCCTCATTATGCCTTACCTGCAACTGTTGCTAAAAAAAAGGATAACTTTCAGTGACTCAGAAAAATAGATTTAAAATGTCAACAAAAAAAAAATTGACAATGCAATAAACTGTATTAACAACAAAAATTTTTTATCACCTAAAATTGCTGAAAAACTATCTTCCAAGTTAAATCACAATTCCATTCTGAAAGAAAAATAAATAGTTGATCAATCAAAATAAATATTAGCATTCCATTACCACTTCCATCAGGTGACATCAATGTCCTCATCTTGTATTTGTGTCAGACCTGTAGATATCTCAGAGTACTTCTTCCTCTCCCCTCCACAATCTTATACTGATCTCAGGAATCAGTGGCTATGAAATGCCAGCCTCTATCTCATCTCTTCTCACTAAACTCCACTTTTATATCAACCAACTTCCAGACCCCACCAAAACTTGTGGTTATTAACATAAGTAATGAGCAAACGGGTGTGATGTTATCACAGGGTGATCTAGACAGCACAGCTAAAAGGAGGTGCCTCCACTTGCCAAAAGTCTGAGCCCCTAGCAATTAACCTGCTTGTAACACAGGATACAATTAGCCAGCAAACCAACTGGGATATTACATCACAGAACAAAACACCATTTCTATACCTGGCTTTGTCCTTACTACAAACAGCCTATTGAAGGCACTGTAAAGCACCTGCTCACTGATTTCCTTCTACTATATAACAGATATCCATAATGCGACATTTTCCAATATTGCATTAACCAAGTGTTGGATGAACCCATTTAAGTCTGTTGTGCACTCAGCTGCCATTAATCAATTACACAGCTAAACTAATGGGTTTTACTTTTATTGTTTATTTCCTCAAGGATACTCAGAATAGATTACACACAATGTCTTTCTGTATGCCAACTGTTCCATAAGAATGGATGTGTTTTCACATATCTCACACCTGACAAGGTGGAATACCTTAAATTATTGTTTCCAAGAAAACTCAGCAACTTAGCAGTTATCATAATGCAACAAGTCAAATAATACACAAGTGGTCGGTTTAAGGTAGAAAATTATGTTGCAATACTTTGTTAATTTCAATTGCAATGTGCCTTTCTCACTATGAATAGCACCATGAAATACATGTATCCAACAATTATTTTCCTGAAAAAATTATTTTCTGAAATAAAGGGTATAAAAGCTTTAAAATGTTCTTCAAACCTTTAATTTACGCCCGACTAGCTGTTCACCCAAGCAATGTTTAACCTATTTTTCTGAGGTTTGATATTAAAAAAATGAGAGGAAACGAATATAACAAATAGCAGAGCAGAGGAAGCGTCTTTATGTTTGGATGTCAGTGGGATAAGATCCTTTAAATCAGCGTTTAGGTGCTTGTTGTTAGCAACTAGCTAAATGAAGCATTTTTTTTTCACTTCTGCTTACAATTAATAATAAATGGAATAAATAATTTCATTTCTAAAATAAACATATAACCCATTACTGCACATATAAATGTTGCCAAAGCTGAAGTGAAATGAGATACCACCCTTGGTTTTTCTAGACACCCCCCCTTCATGTCCCCCAACACGCACACTTATGGGATTAACCAAACCCATTTATCAAAATGCACATCAAATAAGTGGTCTCTAGCAATTCTGATAATTTGTCACACATCAACATAATTCACAGACATAATAACAGCAATTCACACATGGACTGACAGCCTTTTATCCATTTATTAATTCCCAATATGCATTAAGCTGTTAACAGTCTTGTCCATTGCCATCTTGGAGCACATCTCTCTTCTTCTGGTCTTCAGTTTTTCTAAGACTGATTAGCATTACATCTCATGCTTTTTTTTTCTTCTTCTTCTTCCTCTCCTTTTTATTTTACAAATCTGATGGGCTTCATTTAGTTGACTCTGTTACATATTAGCCAGTCTAATGAGTTGTCACTCTTTCAAAGCATACCTGTATAGATGGCTATAGTATACCACTGAATGTGTAAAGTGCGTAAAGTGATCACTGGTAACTGGGGACAGTTTGTCAACCTTCAGCTTAATGCCAGACAATCGTTCAGTCATTTTACCTGCAGAGATTTTTGACCAAGGTAATCATGTCCTACTTGGTACATGTATCACTGTAAGAGAGTCCCCAATGATAGAGTCCACTTCCTATTCATTTGTACAGGTGAGCCTCACCCTGGATTTGGGCTCACTTCGTTCAGGCTAACCCTAACCATTATAACTAAATGGAGGGCGGACTTTCTGTAACAAGGACCCTAAGTTTCATTACACCACCTGTCTACTGCCTGTTGACACCTGCCTATGGTTCATCACTGAAGCTTTACTTCTGTAAAAATGCAGATTTTCCAATTTTCACTTCATGCAACTTCAATGGCACTAAAATCAATGAAATGATCAAATCACAGGTACCTACAATACTTCTACTAGAGAATACTATACTTCAACTGCCTTATTCAGCCTGATATTTGACAGTTAAATCTTAATCTGATGATCTTAAAATAATATGTAACCTCAGTACTATGTTGGCCAGTTAGGACCTAAACCCTATCAAATACAAATCAATTCAAAATCTTTTTTTCTATCATTCTGTTATTGGAGTTGTCATATAAAAAGACCTTTAGATTAAGTAAAATCCATAAGTGAGAAATTACCCATGCTGCCTAATGCAAAATAATCAAAATCAAGATCCCTTGCAATGACATTTTATATGTATTCCTTCCCCCGAGCAATTTCAATGCAATGGCGCAATTTCCCTAAAACCCTTAGGGTAGCAGATAAAATGGGTCTGGTTTCATGGGTGTCAGGCTGAAGTTTCACTTTTGATGAATCCAACCAACAAAATTAGGCTAAATTGCACCATCTTAAATGTCAGTTCTCAGCTAATCATTATTCAGTGTCATCTAATGAAGTCCAACTGATATGAGCACATGTACACAGGGGAAGGAACAATGGAGATATTACCTCATTAGAAAAAGTAATTCCATTTTTTGTAAGCCAAGATAACTAAATACAAGGGCCTTTGTGACTGGGAGTAGATCAGTTCAAATATTTTGTAAGTGGTTGTCATTGGTGACAGGTGACATACTGACCAATACGGAGGCTGTGAAAAGTGAACACATTAACGGAAAAAGAATTCGTAACAGGGGGATCATCCAAGATGGCCAGATGTCTTCTGACTTAGCATAAAATCAAATGAGATTTTGTGGGATTGAGAGGAGAATGGGGTCAGAAATAATGGTAGACCATAGTGAGTGCAGTGCTGCAACAAATTAAAGCAGTCTGCGACATTAGCCACTGGTCCGATGCCTACAGCTAGTAAAATTTTGATTCCACGAGCATTTTTCAGAATATGTGAATTAAGTGGTCTGGCATGGCCATTAGATATTTTTCTGTAAGTTTGCAAAAGAGCTTACAACATGATTGAATTTTTCTGAAATGTTACTGTCAGATCAAGATTATTCAAAAATTTTTTTTAATTTGACAAAATCAAGGTTTTGTTATAACTAATGTTTGTGTAAAAGGGGAAAATGTCCAGTCTTATTGACATTCTAATTCAGACTTGTGAATCCCAATTCAGACCAGTAAATTTTAGGAAAGAGGTGGTCCAAACAGCCAGTAATTGAAAGTTTATGGCAACTGGATAAGCCATAAATTGAATGTAGAAGCTGACAAAATTTCTCCGCAAAAAATTTCAGGTTGCTTTTTCTTAATTTGTGAACAATAACAGATTTTTTCATAACACAACATACATAGTATTTACCATGTTTTGCATGTTACCTTTACATTGCTTTCTAAGATGACATTCATGGTGCATAGAGTTTGCCCTTATTGCTACATGATTATTCCAACCTGATAGATACTCGCACATTTTCTACTCCCTTATGACGTCATACAATGTTGAAAGCCTCATTTCAGACTTTCTCGGATGATTTCCAATCAGTGAAGGCTCTCATGAATTGGAAAATAAGGTCACAAATTACAGTTTAGATACAAGCTAGTTATATTTGTAAGGTAAAAAAAAAACAAATGGATAACGATGTTCAAATAATAATTTGCAAAAATCAAAACACGAGATATTTCTTTGCTGAACAGATTGCAATTCTTATTTGATTTGAACGTGAATGTTCAAATATAATATAAAAGTTATGACTTGCCTTAGAGATATTTCATCCTAAGTCTTCCTTTTGTCACAGACTAACTCAAAAGCAGATCTCTGTAAATTACAAGTGAAAATGGTTTTCCCTGAAATTGATAAACATGTCCCTACATATTTTATATATCAATATACCTGTTTTTCTGGCCAATCCTCTTTTCAGATTCAACATAGCATTGGATAGTTTTCTTTAATCTGCTTGCTGAAACCATACCCAACGTCAAAGAAAGGATGATAGATACTTTGGCACTTCTACATCTTTGGCAATAACATTTGCATCAGCAATCTAGACTAGCCAATGATAAAAACATGTATTTTCAATGTATTTCTAATCAGTCCACCACGAAAGTGTATTAAAAAAGTAGAACTTGTAGAGATTCTGAAGCCTCTCGTAGATTTTCCTGAGAAGCGTACCATTTTCACGTGGCATACTTGGGTCACATGTCGTCATCTTGTGACAAACTTGTCAGATTTCCACCAATCCCACCTCCTCATTCAGTTTGTATATTATTTGTTGAATCCACACGTTTTTTTTTTTTTTTTTTTTTATTCTGCAGAAGCAAAACCTTTAGTATCATTTGAAAGATCTTTACAAAAAATAAGAAAATAAAACTTTCATATCTCTTTTACAATTTTTCTATTCCCATTTATTCAACAGTTAAACTCTCACTTTTATACTAAACTTTCAGGTCAGGATTGCCTTTGAAAAACTTTACTTAGTTTTATATAGTTT